CTGGCCCAGCTCTTCCCGGTGGCTGGGCTATGGTGTGGCCCACCGAGTGTGGGCTGCCAATCCCGGATCCCCGATCCCCGATCCCTGTGGATTGGCCTTAGAGCTGGGGATAGGAGAGCGCGTATGAGGCCCCAGAACAGCCTTCTCCAGTTGCACAGACCAGCACAAATGGAGGTCACCAGAGACCCCCTGGCGCCTGCACAGACACCCCACTACCCGCTGTGCGAAGCTTGGCTGTGCTGGCTGCGATGTTCCTTGACCGGCTCCCTCCAAGGCCCTGCGTCCTGGCTCTTCTGTGTCGACCTCAGGATTGAGGCCCACCGCACAGTGGCCGATCCAGGAGCAGAAATTTCAGGGACGTCTTTTTGAATTGAGCCTCAGCCTGGCCGCAGCGATGCCATAGCCGCGTGAGGAGTGGGAGGGCGGGCGGGGGTGGATCTGCCCAGACAGAAAGACGCCGCTCTGTCCTCCACACGCTCTCGTTCTGGCAGCCTCGCCGTCTTTACGGTGCCTCGCACCGGATCCGCTCCTCGGGGCCTTCCCAGCAGCAGACACCCCACAGTGGCCTAGGGCAGTACAGAAGACGAAGTCCTCAGGCTTGCTCAGCCAGGCCTGGCAGGGAGGAGCGGGCGCTGTTCCCAGGTAATTCGAGGGCACTCTGAGGAAGGCCTGGGCAGGAATGGGCCGGGGCGCAGGGAAGTGCCGGCTGCGCTCCAGGCTGGTAGCAGCGGAGCTGGCAGGGGAAGGCTGGGAGAGGCTGGCGCTGGAGTGCAGTGAATGGCGAGAGCTGTGGTGACTGGTGAGGGACAAGGCCAGCCCACAGCAGGGGCGCGGCCTGGTGGGGAGAGCTGGAGCTGTTCTAGTCCTCACCTGCTGGCTGCCGCCCAGCACCTGTGTCCTCCCCATAAGCCAAACCCAGCGGGAAGCCTGTCGGTGCAATCCTAGGGTGGGCCTGGAGGGCAGGTGGGAGTAACTAGCATGGGTGACAGAAACGGGAACATGCCTATCTACACGAAAGGCGACTTTAAGAAGCTCAAGGAGGGACCAGCACGTGGCATAATGGTTACATCACTGGACTCCCACGTGGTTGACCATGGTTCGAGTCCTGGACCTCACGCTGTGTGCGTATCTAAAATCCCGAGAGGAGAATGGAGGAGAAGAAATGGCAGTATGCCTATCCCCCCACCAGGGGGTGATTTCTCACTTTCTATTTCTCTGTCTTTCTCTATTTCTCCGGCGAGCGCATACACCCGATAGCAAAAATCTCTCTCTTAAAAAAAAAAAAGCTTAAGGAAAATGGGACTAAAGTATGAAATTATTGGGTTGTCAGAAAAGTCATGACATGTTTTTCCTATGCAAAAATGTATCATGACTTTGCAGACAACCCAATATTCTGGGGTAGAAAAAATTGAAATGTATACAAGGTTTTCCATGATACGCAATTCCCATGACCTTTTCCTCATACTGTTTACCAAACTGCTTAGTTATCACGTCGTGCGTTGGACGTACTGCTTCTCCACAGGAGGGTTTGATCTGCTCCCCGGTCACTGGGATGGATTCCGAGAAGACGGGACCTTGGAAGGAACATGTACTAGATGGTCCCGGGGTTACAGACACAGCTGCCAAGTAGCGTCTTAGACAAGGGCTCACACAAATCTGTGGTGGGCCTGGGGGTAGAGGCAGGCCCCAGTCCCCTCTGCCATGTTCAGACTCCACTGACAGTCCCTCCATGGCTCTCTGTCACCAGGGCCAGACCCTATCTGCTCATGGCTCCATTTCCCTAAGAACTAGAACCTCAGCAGTGAGGCCAGCAGCTGGCATAGTGGTTATGGCACTGGACTCCCACATGGCTAACCAGAGTTCGAGACCCAGACCTGGTGGCTTGAAAATCATGTCGGACCCATAAGCGTGCATGCCTAAAATCCCAGGAGAAGAATGGAGAAGGGATTGAGACATGGCCATCCACCGTGGAGAGTGATTTCTCACTTTCCTCCTACCGTCTCTCTCTGTCTCTTTCCAGTGAGTGCACGTGCCCTATGCCAAAAACCTCAATAATAATAATAACAAAATCCCAGCAGTGGCCTTTCTCCCATGTCCCTCTGGGCAGGTTCTCGATCAACAGCTGACCTCGAAGTCTGACTGCTCAGAGGCCCTGATTTCCTGCTTCAAATCCCTGGCACTGTGATTCATCCAGCAGCTCTTGGCGAGCAGAGCGGGGCTGCCCCGTCCCCTCTGCCTGTGCCTTGGGCTCCAGGAGCCAGTGACACAGCTCTGGTCACACTGTCTGATGTGACTTGTGGATTCATCCTTGCTCAAGGCTCAGTTCAAATGCACCATCCCTCCTCTCTAGTGGGAATGAGTCACTTGGACCTAATAGAAGCCGTGAGCCTGCTGTTCTGAGTCATGCGATGTCCGTCTCCCACCAGGAGCTCTGGGAGCAGGTTCCCTGCCCTGTCCATCTTGGCATCCTCGTGGCTGGGCCTCGCTTGGGCCCAGAGGGTCTGTAATTGCAGTGCGAAGCTCCTGGGTGGCCTGAATGCCACTGTGGAAGGCGTGTTACTGGCCTTGCGAGCAGAGAGCAGGGCTCAGCCTGCGAAGAGAGGGCCGGCTCCTGGACTGCAGGAAAGACACACCTGCTCACTAGGTCAGACTGCACGGACAGTGAGAACTGGCTGCAGGTGGAAGGGCAACGGAGTGACCACAGCTGTGCCTAGGATGGAATAGATGGGGGGGGGGCACTCTGGTGTCCGCGACTTCTGAGCCCGAGATGTGGCTCCCATGCGTCGTTGGGCTTGGTTCAAAGTGCTGGCCAGAGCGCGGCATGCTAACTTCACAGACAGGGAGAAGTCATTTCTGATGGAAGTGCCAAGGTCTCGGAGGGAATGGGGGCCTCGAGTATGAAAAATCATACTAAGTAATCCCATGATCTTGTAATATAACCTAGAAAGTCAAGTTAACAGGAGTCTTTTTAGTTTGAGAGAGATTTTTGCTAAAGGGTGTGTGCACTCATGGGAGAGACAGACAGAAAAAAAATGAGAAATCACCCTTGGGGGGAATGGCCATGCTGTAATTCTTTCTCCTCCAGTCCCCATTTGGGGTTTTGGGCACACACACACAGGTGCCTGGTGTGAGTTTAAGCCGCCGGATCCGGGACTCGAACCATGGTCAACTGCGCAGGAGTCAAGCAATGTAACCATTACACCACGTGCTGATCCCATCTCTTGAATTCTTAATTTGTATTACTGTATTTTGCAGTTTCTGAATCTTCAATCTCTTTTATAGTTTCCTATTTTTTTGGTTGAAAATTGTAAGTTTAATTTTTATCCCTGTGACCATAGTAAGATAGTTTTTCTATCAATGTCTAGTAGTTCCACTCTCTGGAGTATCTGTGAGTCTCCGTTTTCTATTATTTATGTTGATTCTTGTTCTTATTTTATCTGCTTCTGTACCTGATTCTCTTTGTGCGTGCGTGCGTGTGTGTGTGTGTTTAGAGAGAGATTTTTTTGCTATAGGGTGCGGGCACTCACAAGAGAGAGACACAGAGAGAGAGACAGAAAGCAAGAAATCACCCCCCAGGGGGGCCAGCCATGGCTCAATCCCTTCTCCTCCAGTCTCCTCTCAGGATTTTGGGCACGCACGCACACACACCCGGTGTGAGACATAAGCTGGGTCTGGGACTCGAACTGCGATTGACTATGTGGGAGTTCAGCAATGTTACCATCTGCTAGTCCCTTGATTGTGTGTTAAAAATTGTACTTGAAAATTTTATTGGAGTGATTTTAAGACTAGGACGATATCTTCTTCCTCCAGAAAACATTCTCATTTACTTTTTAAAAAGTTTTAAGATGTATTTCGTTCACGATAAAATGTGTGTATGTGCATGAGGGAGGCGGGAGGAAACGGAGAGAGAAGCACCCTCGACAGGGTCTTGTCACTGTGGGGTCCCTTTCCCCACCCAGCCCTCTGGTTGTCAGGA